GCAGGCGCTCCCCGCGATTGTTTTTCCCGCAAAGTTCATAGTCCAGGGAATTTTTTCTCGGAAGATGCGGTCCCTTTTCACAGATCTGGTCACAATTTAAGCAACAAAACTTTCTCGCATATCCACAACAATGGAAAAGAGCTTGATCTCAGACTGACTCAGGAACTTTAACGCGAGAGTAGGAAAGTTGGATGAGGCGAAACACGTGATAAATAATGAATGGCTTTGACATCCAAGCAGATTGAATTGCATATTTACAAAAGGAAAGAGAACCTGGTGATCTGTATCATCCCAAGTATTCAGCTCGTTTATAACCAACCTTATGAGGTTAAAAGAACCGACGAAAGAAGTTCGATTACATGAATCGAACGTCCGGTTATACTTAAATAAAACATTCGGTTTTGTTCTGTAGAGTAGACGCTCAACGCACAGATTTTTACGAAAAATCATGACAAGGATGTTGATCTTTTTCTACTACTTCCTCCTCTTCTTCTTCCTCCTCTTCTTCTTCTTCTACTACTCCTAAGAGTGATCAGGGCATACCTTTCCCTGTTAGTCAGGCCATATATACTACCGAGCGCATTAAATCTTAAAATTAAGAAACCAGAAAATCACTAAATATAAAGGTTTCATCAAATAAATAAAACTGCGTCGAACTATTCAATCATCCTGAAGATTAGAGAGCCGATGAAGGCTGTTAATATTTTGTAAAAAAAAAATAAAATAAATGGTGCGAACGCAATGATTATTCGAAAACTATTGCGGAAGCGTTGAACTCTGGTGAAAACCACTGCGCAAGTGTCAAATTTTTGAAAATGCTACTGGGAAAGCGTTAAATTTTTGAAAATTTTACGAAAGCGATGAATGTTAACAAGAGCAACGCAACCGCGCCTAGTTTTCAGAGAATGACTGTGAACGCGCAATGTCATAGTGCCGATTTAAATCCCCGTTGCTCGAAACTGCAGAGGCCGAAGAATACTCTCTACATTGCCGTGGAAGAAATATCCTTAGCGTTTATCTGCATCGTTTTTCGCATTATCGGCTGAGGAAACTCTCTTTTACCATCATTTTTTTTTCTCGCATTCCTCTAAAATTCATTCAATCATTCCGTTTTAAAATCTAATCAATTACTATTCACAGACTTCAAATCAGACTTCATTGATAGATATCTTGCTGCATGTGTCAGGCCCGCTTCTCCTTTTCGGGGTATTAATAGCCATCAGTGGACGCATTCCGTAATGCCAAACCTGACAAGTTTCTTTATCGTTCTATCACACCCCTTTATTTTCGAGCTGTCTCCTGTAAGGAAGCATGCCCATAGTTTGACATCTTAATGAGAGATTCGATCCTAAATGCTGCATTCTAATTAACTTTCAGCAGAAACCATTACTCCGGGAATTCGAACGCCTTATCTGATTTTTGACTTCGTTTAAAATTACTCCATTGTCTTCCGCATTAATTATCATTTTCACGAACCAATTAACAAAAGAGCTACGAAAGGATTAACGCCCCAAAAAAGAAATGAAATTATTACGTCACACTTAAAATGAAAGCAGGTCGTTGACCTTTGAGTCCATGTCTTTTGGTATCTCTCGTGTATGTTATTGCGAACAGCTCATATATACTGCGATTGTACGTATACATATGTAAACGGATGGGAAGGAGAACTGAGAACATCTATTCTCTCTTCCTACCAGTGGCGTGGCGTGTTTTGGGATATATCGATTGATCTACCATTTAAACCTATGGAAAAGGATCGATAAACATGATGTTTGCAACGAACCCTTTAAAAATCGATTCTTTACCGTAGATTCAAATGGAGAAATATCGAAAATCGATCATTCACGCCTCGCCATTGCTTGCTACCCAGAATTAGTCGGCTTGATCGACGTGCTGATGAACTCGTGCATTGTGTTTTTAGTATTCCGGTTTTGTTTCATGGGCTTCTAACACTCGGGTTATTGTGGATTCGAAAAATTAGCGGGAAAAATACTTCAAAATTCCGGGCAATAATGACACCATTGTAATGAATGAGTGGTGATCAACGTGTGCAGTTTTGATCGTAACTTTTTTATTGACCAGTGGGTCGATTTTCGAATGTCTATCGCTCCATTGTCAAATGGCCTTAATCGACAAAGCCCTATCTATATTTCATTGTTAGTTGTCGATCAAGGGCATTAACCAATCGTGGATCAAGTATTCATTTTCGGACATTAGCTGCTCTTAAATCAAGCACCATCTGTGGGTTTTTTCTGCCTCCTCTTTTTAATTTATAGGCAGCGACCAGTTATTACAGTGTACAGATTGAATAGGGTTTTTAGAGACCAGGGAAGCACAGGACATTTATCACTTACCATGTTAATAGCAGGTAATTATGAAAGAGACTACAAAAATAACACGGTAACACGGTAAATGTTGAGATCTTTTGAAAAGTTTCGGCAGGAATGGAAGAAATTCATGAAATACAGGAAATGTTGGCATTTTCCGGTATTGACGGTCAAAACCTTAACTTTTAGGTAACGTTTTTAACGAATGGTTTTTCTTACTAAACATTCCTGTATTCTCTTCCCCAGAAGCGCAGAAAACATTTGAATAAAGAAACCCGTGATAAACCCAAGGGATTTCGAATTTTTAAGACTCTACGATAAGTGTATCGCACTTAGCAAAAAAGGAACCAGCGCGATTACAGTGTTTTCAAAATCGTGCAACTTCTCTTTTAAAAATTGTCTTTACATGTACATCAGTATTGAAATGTACACAATTATTTTTCTTTAAAATTAACAATATTTTGGTGGGAAAGCCATAACTATTTGCTTTTCTGGGAGATTTTTTAGATAATCATGAAGAAGCAACATTTTTACAACACTGTAATTGCGCTGGTCCATTTTAGCTAAATGCGATCCAAGTGCGATCTCTGATTGAAGGATAAATAGCTCGTATTTAGCAAAAAGGAACCAGCGTGATTACAGTATTGTAAAAATGTTGATTCCTCATGATTATCTAAATAAATCTCTCAGAATAGCAAATATTTTTTGCCTCCCACAAGAAAATTGTTAATTTTAAAGGAAAATAATCGCGTAAATTTTAATACTGTACATAAATTGCGTATTTTAAAAGGAAATAAGAAGTTGCACGATTGTGGAAGCACTGCAATCACACTGGTTCTTGCTGAATGCGATCCAAATAGCAATGTGAAGAATATTCATGTTTATTTCTAGGAATGAAATCGTCGGATGAAAAAATGACACGGCGTAGGTTGCAGTCCGTAGAAGTGCTCTTGTTGAGGTGGGTAATTAAAAGAGAAGAAAAAAATACCCCTAAAAAACAAGCGTTCCTTCAGCGTAAATCTCCATTAGGTATAGCAATAATTGTTCACGTTATCGTGAAGGTATTGCATAAAAACTCGCTAACGAAGAAAGAGATGACTAATTATTTGATCCGTTCTGGCCAGCAGCAGTGTCTCATGAATAATCATTCTTCCTGTAGGCGTATTTATGAAAATCCCAAGTGCAGCGGAGGAGGAGGCCGGGGTATTACATTCTACCGCCGTGTTTATTTATCGCCTCGATGTCGGCGTAATTTTAATTGACGCGATCCTGCCGTTTACAATGTTCACGGAGTAGCAAAAAATAACGGACAGTGTTCGTTTCACCGGCGATCGCCACGACATTGAAGAATGAGCTTTTTTTTTACAGTACCCTCACGAATGATTGTTAAATTGAATGACACTCAACGGGTCAATTTCAAGGCAAATCGAGTTTTAATGCGTCAAGTTTATTCATTCATCCGGTGAATGGAGCACCCCCTGACCTTGGTTCTGTGACGTTCTGGAAAAGCTTGAAAAGTAAAAAAAAACCGATTCGTTTCATGCGCCGCGACTTCATCTCTTATCGTTGTACAGTTTTCTGTTGGATGCTCAATTTTCCAATTTGGGAGACGGGGTTCCTTTTCACAAAACTGATCGCATATGTTGATGCTTGTGGGTAACTAAGCTTCTTTCGGACCATCAGAATATGAAAGTCTCTCATGCTTCCTTTTTTTTTTTGCTCCTTGAACTACGAGCAAACGTTTGTAAAATCACCAACACTCGTCTATTCCACACTGAGAAAAAGCCATGGCTTATAAACCAATTAGTGGTTCTTATGGAACACCACTAATAGTACTAAAAGCAACATGTATAATGGAACATATACCTTAGTGATGGTTCGAAACTCAACTTTGAGTCTCAGGAGCCATGTGGCCCATCAAGCTTGATTGTTAGGGGCCAAATTGACTTTTTGCCTAAATATCACGGCGCATTTAGTGAAAAGTTAGAATCTAGATTCGTTTTAGTCATAGAACTAGTAGCTGTAACCTGTAAATTCGAAAAAACACTTAACAGAACAATAAGGGTATTTTGAGGGGGGGGGGGGTTGGTCTCTTAGGGCCACGTTGGCACAGAGGCTTCATTTTTCAGGCGCCATGACCAATTTCTGAGGCGCATTTGGCGCGTTGGCGTCTGTGCGTTTCGAACACTGGGTACGAGATAGGTACCTTAGCATGGTTCAGAGACCGTAAATCATTAGTTCTTCCACAACTATTGATAGAAAAAACAACTTAATCGGCCCGAAACATTAACAGAGAAACAACTTAAAACGGTACTAAGGCCGCAAATAATACAAAGAAACACATAAAATAAAATAAAAAAACCCGGGACGTTTCGCAGGGATCACACCCGCATTTTCAACCGGCAAAACAAGAAAAATTAAAAGGAAAGATACCATGAGCCTCACCGTTGATATTGTGAGACTCAAATTTTATGTGTTTATGTGTGTTTTTATGTGTTTCTTTTTATTATTTGCGGCCTTAGTCCCGTTTTAAGTTGTTTCTTTGTTTACGATTATTAGTGGTGTTTCATATGAGCCACTAATTGGTTTATGAAGCCATAGATTACTCTTTGTGCATATGTTTTGGCATGGTGCGATGATTGACTAATAGATTGGTGTTGGTTGTGTTGACAGGAGCTGCAGAATGAGGTCGGAGCATTGCTGGAGTTTCGGGATCTGGTCATGGAAACATTCCCGCACCTGCGTCAAAAGATGGCCATCACGACGACGCCGACCAGTTCCCACATCCCGGTGCCGAACGGGGGCGCCAGCTCGGGCTCCAAGTGGGAGCCGGGGGTCCGGGTGCGGCGGAAGCTGGGGCAGCACTCCCGGGAGGACTCGGTCGCCCCCTCCCTGGTCCCGCGGAGCCGGAGCAACTCCAACGGGAAGGGCCCCAAGAGCGGCGAGGGCTCGAGCTCCACCGGCTCGGCCGTCCAGGACTCGGGCTTCTGCACCGAGAGCAAGGAGCACTCCGCCGCCAGCTCCCGCAAGAGCAAGGAGACGGACGACGAGCTCTGGAACCTCCTAGACGTCATCCACCAGAAGGGCACCAAGCTCCGGCTCGAGGTCGAGCAGCTCCAGCAGAAGCTCACGCCCTCCCTCGAGGAGCCGCCCCGCAAGTCCCGGAGCCTCGACGACCTCGCCTCCGCCACGGCCTCCGTCCGCGAGGCCAAGGAGGCCACCACCCGGCAGTGGCACTGCGGGAGCCACAAGTCCCAGGACCTCCTCCAGATCGAGATCTCCAACCTCAAGAAGGAGCGGGACGCCCTCCTCGACCGCATCGCCGAGATGGAGGCCGAGAACCTCTCCAACCTGGCCGAGACGACCCACCTCCACGCCGAGCTGGACTACCTCTCCAACGAGAAACACCACCTCGAGGAGCAGCTCAACTACGCCATCTCGAGCAAAGCGGAAAGCTCCACCCCGCTCAAGCCATCCTTCGAGGGGTTCAAGAGGCTCCCACGCGCCTCCGCCGCCGGCAATTCTTACTTCGTACCAGTCGAGCCGGCCCCGGTCCCCAACGGGGGCCACATCTACGAGACCCCGGCTCAACGTCTCCTCTCGTCCACGTTCGGCGGCTCCCTCAGGGACGACTTCCTCGACCAGTCCAACTCCCTGGACCTCAAGTTCCGGCCCTCGGACCCGGTCTCCCGAAAGCTCAATCACGCTAATATAATAAATAGTCTTAGTAACTCAACTAATAATAGTGCTAGTGATAGAGATATATTTTCTGTACCAAAGAATTCGAAATCTAAAATTTATCCTCAGCCGCGACTGGCGAGGAGTAGGAATCTGTCGGGCGATAGCGGCTCCGCTGTTTTATTAGGTAGTAGTAGTATCAATTCACGGGCTGTGACGACTAGTGATAGTGATAAAGTAATACATTCCAATGAGACGGTCGACCGTTTCGGGAACGTTGGCGCTCTCGACGGGATCGTCAGCTCGCCGTGCCTCAAGATGAAGCTGCCCAAGGGGATGTCTTTCAGCGGCGAAAAGCTTCGAGCCATCCTCAACGAGTTCAACCCGGTCGAACTCCAGCGACATCTAATTACCACTGTCTACAGGAATCAGGTAAGGCTACGCCGCCTTTCTCTTTGCACTTTAAGAGTCAGAATTCGGAACCTGCACTGTTCACAATTTCGAAGTGAAATTCTATAAAGCCGATAATTTATTGTCTGCGGCTTTTATTTTCTTTATGAAATTTCTGCAGAGAAATTTTCAACGATCTCAATCTTAAGAAAGCAAAGCGTCATTATTTGGCTCCGAAATCACAGTGGAATGAATGCGACGGACAGGATAGGTTTTGGATTTTCACTCGGTTCAATTATTATGAACTCGAATATCTAAAAGAGTATTTTTGCACGTTAAATGAACAAAATATGGCACATTTTGCATGTGTGTGCGAAACCTACCACTTGTAAGCTGGGCCCTCTGAAAATGAAATGTTTACAGGGGTAAAAGTGAAAGTATACTTATGATATTGCACTTTCACGAACCCAGCGGAATGCGTCCTTTGTCGTGCAACTGCGCAATGACGAACGTACACAGAACTCAATACATCTCTGATGCATTAGCAGCCTGAAAATGTATCTAAGAGATTTATATTTTTCCATGGAGACCCCCCTTTGAATTGGAAAATTGAGAAGAAAAAGTGAAAATTGAGGGTCGCGCTATCCCCAGAAGATTACTACAGTTGCGCCTATGATGTGATGTCTTACTGCAATGCTACAGGAGTAACTGACAATGATTTGGACTTCGTCTTGCAATATTAGAGAATTTGTAGGCAGAGGCGGGGATCCAGCGATTTGGCAACACCGGACTTCCTCCATTTAAACCTGTGTTAAATAATCGATTCTTGTCAGGGCACCTGGCCCCTCGAAGAATCGATATATTTCCATAGGTACTAATGGAGAAAAACAATGTTGCCAATTTGCTGTAACCGCCGATGTTTGCAGGTGTTGGGAATTTTGTGAATTTCATCTTTAAAATGACACTGCTAGGACAATTTAGTACGAGGATATCCTGGGTTTCTAAATTGGGTTTCTAAATTATTGGAGAAAATATGAAAAAATAACCTAATCTGCTAAAATAAATGTGTTTCAATCGAAAATCCCGCCAGATGACGTCACAACGCGGCAAATTTTCTCACTTTCAAATCTATTTTTCTCCAATTTCTTATGTCCGAAAAATATTATGAAAAATACTGCGAACTCAGCCCATAAGGCACTCTCGCAGATGAAGAAATACAATTTTTGTGTGCAAATTCTCCATTAACCTCAATACCTGACTCTTTTGCAAAAGCACTAATGTGCATAGGGAAACTAACGGCTTATACGTTGTTTCTTAATCGACACATTAATTGGATTGCATTTGGCAATAAGGAACCACTATCTCTGGCTCTTTCATAAAAACGCATATCCGCATAGGGAAACCAATGGCACATATCGTCACCTTCCAGGCAAAGTATCACAAGCGCCATGCGACGTTTAAAAATTTCCGCCGCCTTTTTATTTTTTTACAGAGAAATTGTTCAACGAAGCTGTCCGAAAATTTCACCGAATTTTCTTTGTGCTGCCGATAAAATTTAGTGAAATTTCCAAACAGATTCAACCAACAATTTCTCAGTAAAGAAATAAAATTGCGGCGGAAATTTTTAAACGTCGCATGGCGCTTGTGATACTTTGCCTGGAAGGTGACGATATGTNATACTTTATTTTCTACGTCGGAAACTACCGAACGTCATTTCTTGAAAACTTCAAGGATTCTTTATTCTCCGTGTGATGAATTTTCTGGAAAAATTTCAAGGCATAATGTTGGTTGGGTTTCTCTCTAAAAAATAAAGTTTGAGCGGATATTTTGAAACACTGCAACCGAGATACGTACTTTTGCAGTTTCACCAAGGGCCTCTTTGGGTAGTACATCTTGTCGAAAACTTTAAATGCGCATTAAATGTTTCCAAACGGAGAAAAAAACTTCGTGCGTGGGACCCGAAGTTTAGGTCATATGGATCTCTGAAGTTTTCGGATTGAGCATCTGAACACTTTAGGTCCAGCTGTCGAGGTTCGGATCACACATCTGAAACTTCAGTACTTACATCTGATGTACTTCAGATGTGAGAGATTTGTGTAAACGGAGTTATACGCTTTTAAAACATCCAAATTTCGTCCAACCTCTCCCATTGACTCGATCCACTGTGAATTGGTTGCCGAAAATTTCACGACTTTTGCTTCCTGGAAACAATGTAAAATTGCAGCGCAATTCTTAGCTCCCTTGATCGGTTTTATAGCAACCAATGATGTTCCAATGAATGATAGCATTATCGATCGTTTTGGCAACTATGTGATACGTCCCATTGGCCGAGTGTTGATCATTGAGTTTCTCCTATTGAAGAGGAGTCTTTCGAACATTGTCATCGTCACTATCATTGACACAGAGAGAAACAAAAGATAAACAGTTAACCGCCTAGTCGTACATGACTTCAATGTCTCCTGCACTCAGGTTTTCAAGCCCTCTGTTCATGTTAACTAGTTCATGGTCCTCGAAGAAGAAATGATCTTGATGCCTGTTTAGAAAGAGTAGAAAGAGAAAACATTTTGCTGAATCATTCATGCAGAGACAGCTTCAACCCAAAAATATATTCCGATATCCTGAATTTTTTTGCCGCCGGGGTGTCAGCCCAAAAATGATCGAATGTCAATCATCATGCAGAAAATGGCATGTACTGCTATACTGCTCAACATGAAACAAATAAGTCCTTCTTTATAGTCAAAGTGAAATTCCGGAGATTCTTAATCACGAAACCTATTTTGAATAGTCTTTTGAGGACTTCATAGTAAATTATTCCGCTGAAACACCTCTTGGTCCATTCTATCAAACTTCATTTCTGGAGTTACTGATCTCATATCATCATCGGTAACTCGGCAAATAAGTAACTTTAATTGGCTGTCGAGGCCCATACTACCGTGTTTTAGAAAAACGCCGTATGAGCCTTCAAACGTTGCCAAATTTTTTTCAGTTTACAACGAATTGACTGGAAAAAATTTGAATAGTTTCCAGACAATTTTGTTCGTAATTTAATTTATTATGTGAAAACTTAAAAAAAAAAATGCGCATAACCTTCCTCAAAAAGAAACATTTTGTCGTGGGAAATTTGGCAACATTTGAATGCACATACATCGTTCCCGTGGTAAAAATTGGCGATAGGAGTTGCGTTTCAAAATACCATAGGAATTCTTATAGCCGGCTAAAGAAGGCAATAGAAAATCATATAGCTGGCTGTAGAAAGCGGAGCAAATCATATAGCCGGGCTATACGAAGCGATAAAAAAGTATGCAGGTGGGCTATAGTTCCTATCGCCGGGCTTTACACTTTATCGCCATCGGCTATAAAAGGCTTTAAGAAATTGTGTAGAAATTCGTGTGCTTTGGAAATCATTAAGTTCGATACGGAGCCAACATAATATTCACAAAACACACATTATATTTTCCCTTAATACATATTTTTTCATCTATTAAAATGAGAATAATCCATACAGGATGTGCGAAGATTTCAAAATCATGAGTTGAAAAAGGCTGACTCCGCAAGATTATATTGGAGCATAACACAGAGCGGAGCGGCGTGCTGCCAGCGATAAGCGCGCACCAGCGCCTGCAAACCTAACAGGGATACTTCACGCATGGCGCAATGCGTGAAGTATCCCTGTTAGGTTTGTAGGCGCTAAGGCGCTTTTCGCGCTGGCTGCCCGCCCGCCGCACCGCAGCGTGCCACGGCGCTTGAAACAACTATTTCACACCAGAGGTATTGCACAGGATCATACGAAATTGAAGGCGCTCCAAAATATCAGGAATGGCTGCAGGCATCCTTCAAAAGTACGGAGCTTTCCGCGCACAATAAATCAAGATACCACGGCCCAAAAATAGAGCGGTAGTCCAAAAACTCACTAAGTCCTAGCATCCGTAATTAGTAACATGTAGCATACACTTTATCGCCTGGCTGTTGCTCAATCGCCATCGGCTATAAAAGGCTATAAGAAATTGTGCAGCCGGCTATAGAAGCTATTGAAAATCTTACAGCCGGCTTTAGGTCTATGGTATTTTGGAACACAGATTCTACTGCCAATTTTTACCAGGGTCTTCCTTGTTAACACGGCGGTGTAAGTGCCCCATTCTGAACGAACAGCCCGGAGCGTAGCGCGGCCCTNGGGGGGGGGGGGGGGGGCATCGGGTGACACCTGTGGATGCGTGAACGATCTGTTATCAGTATTTCCCTATTTGAAACTGGTAAATAATCGATAATTAAGGTGTTCATTGCGAACACCCTGTTCATCGATCATTTTCCATAGGTTTAAACGGTAGATCAATCGATATATCGCGAAGCACGCCACACTACTGGGTGACGCTTGCATATATTTACCGCCCTCTGTTTGCTCACGGTCTCTGGGCAATAAAATTCGTTCAGCGACGCATGGGACACATGGAATGCCCTGTGCCCAGTTGCACCGATGACCTTGCAGAAAAGTCTGGTTCTCTCGTCTGCCGTGGTAATGAAAAACGCCGTATGAACCGCCGGCGTTGCCGAATTTCCTTTGATTAAACACGAATTTCTTGGTAAACTTCTGAATATATTCTTTCCAATTTTTAAGATAATTTTGCTCGCAATTTCACCTGAAGTTCCTGAAAATTTCAAGGAAAAATATTCATAACTTTCCTCAATAATAAACGTTTTATCGACGGAAATTTGGCAACTCTCGAATGTTCATACGACGTTCTTCCTTAGCACGGCTGTCGTGGTCTTGACACGAGGACGGACGCCTCCGCAGCCGCAGCATCCCAGCCCCATCAATCTCCCTACTTTGACACACAAGTTCAGCTTATCAGGCCTCATCGCTGACCCACATCTCTCTCGTGTGGTTTTTCGTTCCTCCTCAAATGCAGAACGCCCCGGCAATGCAGCTTTTTAGTTCGAGTTTTACCGGGGGAAAAACTATCCAAGAAAACCCGAATAATCGCATTCGAGGTTTGAAGCAGGGTACTAGCAGCGAGTTACTTAGATGTTCTTCACGATGGATGCGGCGATTCTTGAATGTCGGCAACGTTTTCCTCCAGTTAAATGCATGTAAAATAATCGATTCTTGAAATGTGGCAACCCTGATTTTCCTCCATTTAAATGTATGTAAAACGATCGATTCTTGAAATTTGGTAACCCTGATTTTCCTCCATTTAAATGCATGTAAAACAATCGATTCTTGAAATTTGACAACCCTGATTTTCCTCCATTTAAATGTGTGTAAAACAATCGATTCTTGACGAGGCTGCATCGCCTATAATCGATATTTTTAATGGATTCAAATGGAGTGAAAACAATTTCACCAACTTGCAAAATCGCCACTGGATGTGGCCGAGGACTGGACGTTTTCTTTGGAAGCCAGGTGTAGTGGTTATGCAACTTTTCTACCCCTCGCATCGGCACCGTAGTTGAGTAATTTTTTCAGTGAGCTCTTTACGACGTTTTGATGTCTCGTTATTTTAGTCTTCATTCCTATCGAGCATTTTTAGAGGTTGGTTCCTCCCGTTTGTCGTATTATTGTTCCCTCAGGATGCTTTCGATGCCTTGGCGACTTTGCGCCTCAATTCATCGAATGATTTCGTAATGGCTCCCACTTGGTTGGCAACAGTGCCACCATTCACCATTCAAATCAAATAGAATGAAAGGTTGCCTGTTTTTCTAATTGTGCGCAGCGCAAGATTGACCTTGAATGGTGTCGCGATATCAACAACTAACATCTCGGGGTTTTTTTTCTGTTTGTCAGGTCTCCATGTTGTCAGAGTTTCATTTTTACTTTTCAGGAAAACTTAGGCGGCTCAATTCTTACGCACAATTAACTTTAAATCAAAAGATAGTTTTTTTAAGTCTTCAGTAGAGTATGGATTCTTGACTTGGAAGGCATCGGATCAGTAGAATTTTTGTCCTAGCGCAAAAAATAATAATTTCATCCATCAGAGGACTGCTCTATCTCCTACTCAAATAGGTGATTTATTCCCTCCATTCTTAATATTTTTTTAATGTATCATCTCTCTGATGACGCGTACGAAATAAGAAAATAAATAGACATGGATGAATCTATTCCATTCGCACCAGCCGCGCCTCCTAAGAGGCCGATATCCAAACTTGAAACTTTTTCAATTTAGCACACGACATTTTGATAATAAACGCAGATAATTTGAATCGTTGACTTACTACCGCGTGCACACTACACAACCTGCAGTTTGCAGAATTTTGAATTTTGACGAATGGGTCAGTTGCGCTGGTCACAGAATCATGTTTTGATGCTTGATTCTTGTAGATTAGCCAGAAATAATGAGATCTGTCCAATCTAAATACAAAACTCGAATCTATGAGCAGCGCACTGACCAATTTTTCAGCTGTGGGTCGTAGGATTTGCGTTGAAATTCTCCGCTCAGAAGTGATAGGCACTGCGATAAAAACTGAATAGTAGGAGTCAAATGCTATATTTCTCGGTCGTTGAATGTGGCAAGTATGTGAATGTCTGCTATTCACATGCTGGCTGTACCTACTTGTCACCGCACAGCATCACAGAAGCTCCCATCTTCATTGCGTCCCGCATGTTGTGTAGTTGTCTCTCTTTTAACTGTGAGGTTGCTTTGATTACGCGGCCTTGATCGTAGGTGTTGAATCCATCTCATTGTCAGCTAAAACACTGTTGAAAGCTGTCTGCAGTTTCTCGGCTTAGCCTCACTTAATGTACCTCCGTTTTATCGTGTATCAATTCACACTTGAAGAGCAAAGTAAATTACACCAAATTGTTTTGATGTATGCGCCGTATTTTGATATTCAAAGTGGGAAACCACATATCTCCATTGCAATGTTTCAAAATTTCCGTTCCTATTATATTATTTCCAAGAGGATCAAGCCAACTTTATAGCTTGAAATTTATTCAGAATAGTCGGCTAACAGAGAGGTAAAATCAAGGAAGTCTTGAAGCATTTGCAGAAAAGGCGCAACTCTGTGCTGCCGTGCTAAGGAAGAACGCCGTCGGAGCATTCAAAGGTTGACAAATTCCTCCCTATAAAATATTTATTTTTGGAGAAAAGTACGCATATTTTTCCTTGAAATTTACGAATATTTTAGATCAAATTCCGATTAAAATTTTCTGAAAAACTGGAAGAAAACCATGCAGAATTTTCCAAGCACATTCGTTTTTATCGAAATAATGATGGCAGCGTCTGAAGGCTCATATGGCGTTATTCCTCAGCTCGACAGTGTGTCCGCCTTCCTCTTTTGACCTCAATTCTGCCGTGCTAAGGAAGAACGCCGTATGAGCCTTCAGACGTTGCCTAATTTCCTTCGATAAAAACCGAAATCACGGGGGAAATTGTGAATATTTATTTCCGAAATTTTAAGACGATTTCGCACGCACTTTAATCTAAAATATGTGGAAATTTCAAAGAAAAATGTGCACGAATGTCGTCAAAAATACGTGTTTTATACGGGGAAATTCGGCAACTCTCGAATGCTCATACGGCGTTTTTACGTAGCACGGCAGAGTTACCCTTCTTATCTTTCAAGTAGGACGCCCTTATTTGGACCGCGTTAAACAGAAAGGAACCAAGCCACATCAGCTATTGCCAAATTGAACTGGGCAATTTCATTTTTTCCACGAAAACAGTTAGGCGGATTTGTGTGCAAATTTCAGTGAATTTTCTGCATAGTACGAGGCAAATTCTTTAAAATTTTCAAGGAAATCCGCACAAGCGTTTTCTTGTAAAAAATTAAATCGACCAGTTAAATTTGGCAACATCTGATGTGGCTTGGTTCCTTTCTGTTAAACGCGGTCCATTTCAGCCTCTTAAACTAGAACAAACCAAGAACGGTCTGTTGTTGCGATTTGTGAAGGAATCATATCCATCAGATCGATGAATTGTTTCCCCAACACGCACGGACGCACGCCCTCACCTCCGACGCGACGCCTCGTCCGTTTGATCGAAGGGTAGAGATTTAACTGGTCTTCCCGTAACTTTACGTTATTACCTCCCGACTCCCGACATGACCAGATATCGATTTCACAAATTTTCACGTCTCCGCATCACCGTATCGCGGATTCCTAGTCATCATGCCTTTGACCTGCCCGAAGTTTCGGGGAAGTTCAGATCGGTCGCGTGCATAGCGCACACAGCTATACCGAACACTATAATATCCGTGCCTGAGAAGTGAGAATCCAGCAGCTGTTTTCGTGCGATTTTATTTCGGCAATTTTGCTTCGGGTGTACGGCCGTTCCAAGGAAAACGCCTCTCGAATACCCGGATGTTGCCGTATTTCTCCCGATATAACATACATTTTTAAGGAAATTTACCAATGTTTTTTCTTGAAATTGGACACTCTAGATTCAATCGAGGCGGATGTAAAATAAATGCAGGAAGGGCTTTTCTTGGTCGCGGTGATTTAGAATCTCCACTGCTGATTTAGATTTCGGAGAGGAAACCATCGGGTGAATTCTCTATTTTTAGTTTTCAAGCATTGTAAAATCACGAAGAAAACTCTGCAAAAGTTTGCATGAATTCCACGCATTTGCTTTAATTATAGTGCGTGAAACATTAACGGGACCACTGAGACACCAGTGGCGTGGCGTGAAGGATCGATTATCGATATATCGCCATTTGAAGCTATGGTAAAGAATCGATTACTAAGGTGTTCGCTGCGAACGCCCTGATAATCGATCTTTTTTCATAGGTTTGAATGGCGTATCAATCGATACATCGCAAAGCACGCCACGACACTGTGAGACACCGCAACTAAGAAATGCCCTTCTTTTACTCAGCGCTTCGATTGCGCATGAAAGTCTCTGAAAAATCCCCCCCCCCCTGATAATGCGTATTTTATCAAAGGAGATTTGGCAACGTCTGAAAGTTCATACGGCGTTTTTCCTAAGCGCGGTATCCCGGGCCGAGTTTCCACCTGGGAGGGAGAAAGTTGTACGTGGAAGAACCCACACTACCCCATGAAGGTGTCACTGCGAGGGCTGCGAATCCGCAGGAATTTCGGAACCTTTTCCGGTTCCAGTTTTGAAGATGGGGAAAATAATGGTTCTGGTTCCAGCTCTGATTCTCTCAAGGTTATAGTCGGTTCCGGTTCTAGATCCGGAATCGGTTTCATTCTGATTCCAAGGGGTTTTTTGGGCTTTGAAAAAGTCTCGGAAGTTAAACAAAATGACTTTCTTTACCAGGGCTGAAGTAATCATCAAGTAAAAAAAAAGGCTATTCACATTTAGTTTCAGTCGCATTGCCATCATAAAAATCTTCGAATTCTGCCCCCCTTCCCCGTATGTTTTGCGTTTTTGTCAACTCGCAAGATAGACAGGGTGGCTAGCGACCGGGAAAACCGGGAAAAGTCAGGGATTGCAACTCGACTGGGAAAAATCAGGGAAATTTCTATGGAGCCGGGTTCCGCGTAAAAATGGGGTTTCGACGAGCCAGCTGATCGCGTTGTTGTGCCTTCGTTTTGGCCACATGAATTAAGTGCCTTTACGTTATCGAAAAATGTCAGAGAATTTCATTAGAAGAAGTCAGGGGAAAGTCAGGGAATGATAAAATGAATGTTTTCAATCTAACCTTGCAATTTGTAATTATGTTCCTCAAGGAGAAACAACATAAGTTTTTCTTCGTTTATAAAACAATAATCACCATTCTCTCTTTTGACGACTTTTATTTTTTATTTTGTCCGCAGGTATTCGAGCGTTGTTTGAAAACGCAATTGAAGAAGAAGTTAGAACTCACCAATCAGCTGGACAAAGTGAAAGAAGATAACGAGGAATTGAAATTTCAGGTACTTAATTTGCACTATTGTTATTTTTGGGTTATTCATCCATGTACGTTGAGTAACTCAGTCGACATAATTTAAATATTTTCAGGACCGTTGCCTTGGCATGGGTCAGTGTACCTCATGCCTCTTTTCAAAAAATTTTGAGCGCCTTCAATTTCGCCACATAGGCAACAAACTTACGGAAGAATTCAAAGAGCTATCTATTCGAAAAACACGCATTAACCCCACTCCATTTAAACCCATGAATGATGCTGTTTACGTATCGAAAGGTATCGTCCATCTGAAGTTCGCCTTCAATTTTTCGCATAGGCAACATAATCACCGGGGAGTTCTAATAGTTATTTATTCGAGGAGCACCTTAATGATTCTCCTGAAGTACTTTAAGTAATAGGCATGTCTCCTCTTTTGTGGCTAATGAAGTACGTGCCTTTGTAAAATCTCCGAGTTTCTTATTTTCAACTTAAGAGCTTTTCTGGCGACTTTTCAATTTGAGTTGACGTATCTCGTACTTAACTTGGAATGAGCTTCGCATGAAGCGCGAAGATAATGCTCCGAAAATACTTTCGCCGTGGTTCAGGATCAATCCCGTCATCACGATGTGTTTAGACTAATCAAAAGACGAGTTCAGCTCGCTGTATCATGCCAACTGATCTTACATGTATCGCCGAATTGTGATTCAGGTGACCTCCGTCGAACTTGAAACAACCATCGCTCTTTGAACAGTGCGTTGTCTCGGATGAGTTTGCGAGGCGTTGAAAACATGACTGAAAAAAAGGGAATCTATTTTTGAGAAAGAATTAATTTCTGCGGTTTAAAGAACATGTTTGGGTCCAAAACTGTGTGTTGGAGTGGAGGAAACATTTATTCTACCGCAAGAAATTATTTTGTACTAATTATTCTTCTTTTTTTCAAATGGAGTTTTTTTTTTTTATTTCAAAGAAAATTAAATTTTTCGTCGATGATCAAGATACATTTCCTCGAGTTAAAAGAAACTTCGCACCTGAATTTAAAAAGCTCTTACTAAAATGAAATAGTTCTGCAAGTGAAACACATTTTTTGTCTAATCATAAAAACTTGTTTAAGCCAGACTTATTTTTTCATTTTTATTTTATTTATTTATTTTATGGCTGAGTCGGTATGTGGAGTGTAGCCAAGTGCTAGAAATAATATTACATTTTTTTTAAAAAAAAAACTTACATTTTATTAATAAACTTACTTACATTTTATATTTTATCCATAAAATGTAAGTTTTTTCAAAAAAAAAAGTTACATTATTTCTTGCACTTTGCTACACTCCACATACCGATATATTCAGGCTTCCAGGACTTTATGTCCACCTGCCTTTCGTCCATTAAATAAATGTCAACCGCTATTTATGTTCACTAAACGTTAAGTCCAATCTTTGTTAAGTCCACATGATTTAATGTCCAACCATGAATATGTCCAAAATTGTCCAAATTGTGTCCACATTTTTTTCTTCTCATTTAAATGACAGGAACCACCTCAAAAATAAATGCATACTACCGCTACCTTCATTCTTAAAAACATTTCATTCATGAATCAAGTCATGAAAGAGAACAGACTTTAAGAGCAGATAAAAACATATGTTCATGTGTACAGTGTACGGATATGATAAAATGAAAACCAAAGCGGGAGCTTAGGAAACGCTCCAATGCCAAATTAAACATTTTTCAGTAACAGATGCAGTCTAAATAATTGAAAGTCCTCTTTGACTAGTTATTTCGTGCGCCTTCAATCTTGCAGGATACTGTGCAACGCCTCTGACGCGAAATAATTGCTTAAAGCTTTGCGGCGCGGCAGGCAACCAGCGTGACACGCGCACAGGCGCCTACAAACCTAACGGGATGCTTCACGCGTTGCGTAATGCGTGAAGTATCCCGTTAGGTTTGTAGGCGCCAGTGCGCGTTCTGCGCTGCTAACCCGCCGCTCCGCTTTGTGTTAGGCTCTAATATTTAAACTCGCGGAGTCAGCTTTTTTCAACTCATGATTTTGAAATGTTTGAACTCTCTGCATTGATTATTCCCTTTTAAACTGATGAAAAATAAATATGTACTACTGGAAAATATAATGTGTTTTTTGTAAATATAATAGTGGTTCCGTGTCAAATTTAATGATTTCCAACGCATTCAAATTTATTCTTTTATGTTTTGGGCTTTTACTGTGCTGCAGCGTGGTGTAAGCGCAACTAAATGCTCAAAATTGGACGTATTTGACTCAAGAAGATCGATGTACAAATAAGATAAGAACATAAAATTGCGTGCTTCTTAGTTTTTTTCCTCTTCTATTAATTTTTGTATAGTTTCTTTCATCGCAACTACGGCTCATTGAGATTCATATCGATGCCATTGCTTGGAAAAGGTTTTACAAATATTTACCACGTTTTGAAAATGTAAATGTTTTTAAAATGAAATAATCAATTTCATTAAAAAAAAAGGAATGTACATTTAAGGCATATTTTATATCGGAAATTTCAAGCATATAAATGAAACCAAGTATTTACCAAAGACAATTTGAAAAGATGAATCAAAAGAAGAAATTATCATTTCATTTAAAACATGAGTTACGATAACAACACCTCATTCTCTCTTAATTTTCGCATTTCGATATTGTCAATATAATTTTACACACGGACTAAAATATAACGCTCGAATTTGATTTTAGTGGACTTTACATTTGTGGACTTAACTTAGTGGACGTTTAAGTAATGGAATTAACAATAGTGTGGGCTTTAGAACTGTGGACGTACAAATTGTGGACGAAAAGTCTTTGGACGTAAAAAAGTGGACATAAAGTCCGTGTACCATATTCAGTACTACTACCTTTTAGACATTGTTTAATACAATGTTCGCTGAACTTGATTTGGCTGAGTGGTGGCAGTAGCGTTTTGGTTTTGTGTTTCACATTTTTAGCCATGTCTCCCTTTTTTGTGTATTCTTTAAAGCTTGAATGTGTATTGAGTGGCCCGTAGTGACAGTAAGTCTTCCATTCAAGGCGCCTAAAAAATTGAAGCTCCTTCCCCTCCTCTAGTTTTCGCCACCTTGCCCGATTTATTTCTATTCGAACCAGGACTGAAAGAGGGATTTCAAAGATCTGGTGGTGAAATTCGTAAGATGGGCGGGCCAAGGGCACACGAAAGGGGAGGGCGCACAGTGAATCGAGTCAGTTAGAGAGGTCGGTCATGAAATTTTTGACTAAAACCGCAAATTTTCATGTTTATTTCGTCACATTCTAAATTTTGAGGGGTGTTTTCAGAAGGAGGAAACTAATGGAACCACTTTTAGAACCTCGAAATTCTGTATAAACGGAGTTATAAGCTTTTAAAGTTTCCTAATGTGGTCCGATCGCTCCTATTGACTCGATCCACTGTGCGGCGAGTTGGCAAATCCCTGAGGAGGAGGGAGCTGCATCGCTTGGCCTCCTCGTAGGTCCTAAATTCCACTCTGCTCGATCTTTTTCTTGTCAACATCACATGATATTATCAATGATTATTAATAACATTGTTTTCTTTTTCTCAGCTGGAAGAGAAGAAAATAGAACTTGAAGGAACTAAAGCCAGAGTTCGGGTGCTAGAGAAGTTTCAAGATGAATCCAACAGAAGTGCAACTCTTGATGGCAAATCAGAAGGAAAAGTCTCGGAGTACTCCAATCTCTCCTCCTCTCAACACATTCTCATCCCCACTAATCCTATTCTACCCCACTTAGCATTACCTGCAACTCATATGAACGGCCACAATGTGGAAGAAATGAATGCCCACCATAGCAGTAGCACAGAGTCAGCGCATCATGAGGATGACGAAAGATCAAACCGAACTATTCTAGATAAAAATCAACAAAATTCTCTACTACGCTCCAAAAAGCCCAGCAAAATACCCCTAAAATCTTACGTGGCTCCAAAGCAACCCACATCCCAGAAAACAACCCCAAACAGCAGCAACCTCTCTAATAGTTATAACTCGAGTAAAAGTAGTCATATTACTAGGCAAACTTTAAACAAAGATTCATTAACATACCTATCAAATAGGACTAGGTCTGAAACTCGGAATTACGATTCTGTGAAGAATCGAGATGTTTCAATCACAACTAAATTTAATAAGAGTGCAAATTTGAATAATTCAAATAACAGTACAAACTATAGTATGAATAAACTGAATTCTTCAATTAGTTCCAATGAGACTGTTTCCATATCTAAGCGCCATACATCACCAATTTCATCCGTCAATGATTCGTTCTCTATAAATAAATCCCGCTATGCTCATCGTAAACTCTCTAATGAATCTCTAAGCTCATCAAATTCATCTCCTAAGTACCATAAAGATAGTCTTAAACAATCCAATGTTTCTAGTTCAACAAATTCTAATTCTTCAAACAATAACTCTCCTATGTCATATTCAGGATTCAAGAAAAACTCCCCTCAAATTTTTAATTCAACGCGTTTGTCAGTTTCTCCGAAACGTAATTCTTCCATTATCTCAGACTCGCAGCAACATTCCAATCAAGAATTAAATAAGGTACGCCCCCCTACGAACAAAATATCTGCTCTGTTGAATAGCTGGCTTCGAATGTCAGGCCCCTCATAACAATTGGTTTTATGGGAAATATTAATCCAGGATTTCCAAACTTGGTGCATGTTCTTTCATTGCTTCTGATTTTTGTACTTCCCCCTTTTTTTGAGTCTGTATTTATTTATTTTTTAATTTTATCATTTTAATACGTTATGCCATTCTCAATATTATTCATCACTGAAAATGTTGTAATTTTTCCATTTATCACTGTCCAAAGTGAAACATCGTGTGTCCAAATGTTGTTTACTATGAAGCCATTGCTTCTCACCAACTCTAATACTTCACACTCTTTGTTAAACTTATTTATTTACCTTCAAATAAGTTTTCAAGAATAGTTTTTGTTGGAAAGGAGTATAGTCTGCACCTTACTCCTTTTTTTTATTTATGTCCGACGTTTTTCTGCAGAAATTTTTGCACAGAGGGGGAAATTTTTTGCAAAAATTTCAATCCCCCGTCTTTAGAAAAAGTATAACAATTTCCTTCAACGTTCGGCTTTTTCAGAAATTTTTTTACATTCTTCAAGACTGTAAAGTTTTTATTTGATTCAGTTCATTGAAGGGCAGTTTGTAGAAACTGCATTTTACCCATCACCTTCATATTACTTCTTTTTTTCTTTTACTATTAATTAGTAGCACAAAGTACCATTAAAACTGTGTCTTCTCGGACTTTAAAATGGAAGCAAACGTTTCTACTCAAAGACGGTTTTTGAATGGCTGTATTTGCCTAAAGTTTAATATTGTACTCTCCTCTCCAAATATTTTAAGAAAAATAATTTTAACCGTCGATAAAAATTTCAGACTTTTAGATAATGCCTGCAATGTGTCTTAAAAATGGTGGTTCACCATTAGTTGTGAAGATCAGCGAGTAAAAAGCCGCAGTAACTTGACAACAAATGCATAAATAACGAGTACTGGACTGACTGGTACGCTATTATGTCTCATATTTCAGTCAAACAAAATCTTTCTTAAATAGACAAGCAGTGAGATTTTGTTGTCTAATTACTTCACTTTCAGCCTATTATTTGCAGCCTTAACCTGAAAAGTAAGAGTTATGAAGAAACTTGATTTAACTCTCAATTAACACATGGTAGTCATTTTTCACTCATCTGCACAATCTTCTAAATTATGTTATGTTCATGTTGATTCTCCGTCAATCATGAAGAATTATAGTGGAGTATGATTCGGAAAACCCTTGTCAGGGAAATCAATTTTCTCAAAATGATATGAGGCGTTGTGAATATTTTTAATTCAATGACTTTTGATAGAAGCTGCTCTTAAATATAACCATTTTGTTTCTTCCTTTCGTTTTCTTTTTACATCATCTTACTTGATAATAAACTGTCACTAGTCTCTCTTCAACTAACCAACCGAAGATAGAGTAATGCTGATTTTATTGCCTTATATTCATTTCTTTAATCATTGGAAATTTCTTATGTAGCGGATGAAACACTTTTCATGGTAAAATCACTATCCCTGTTCTTTGCTCTATTAACTAACTTACATCTAGTTCTTTTCATTTGTGTTCTAGACTTTATTTGAAGGTAAATAAGTATGTCAGTCATATTTGTTAATAATTCATTATTACAATTTTGCCTTTCAACAGTGAGCAAAATAAAATTGCACCAAATCTTTTGGACGCTTCATTCAGCTGTTTGCTTCCAAATAATTGCTTTTACCGATCAAGTCACTTAAAAAACTGTAGTACATAATGTCAGTTGCACTTAGATGGAAATTATTGGCTATATATTGAAGCTTTTAAGCTTTTGGTAAATTTGAAAGAAAACATCATCTCTTTCTCTGATAGTCTCTTTTTAAACCTACCTCAAAATAATCCCAAACTAAAATTTGTTGCTTCTCAATTGAGATCAGCAAAATTTTACAAAAGACACTTTGATAGCTTGTTTCTTCCTGGAAACCCTCTTAAATTTTAGTGACATGCCGTTTCTTGCTGTTTGTCGAGCACTTAGTACTCACCCTTTAATCATTGCGTTTATTCTCAGTGCTACGATCAAGTAACCGGTTTACTTCAGACTTCATACAGAAGACTTATCCCCTGAATTTAACTCCCATCCATATCCATACAGATATAATCACAGGAGAGAATTCCGTGTCGTCTTCTAGCTGATATTGATCTCGTAAGTCAAATGAGCTTTCATAAAGTTTTATTGTTTGTTGAGTATTGTTACTTTTTTAATCCCTAATCTCTCTTTCTCTTTTTCTTTTCACCCCTCATCCAGTTGTAACGGAACCCTTCCTTTTTTAAAAGCATGGTTTGGTTTGCCTCTTTGTGATTTCCTTTGACATTAACTGTAGTATTCGTAGTATTGCTTTGTTTGCCAGCAATTTAACACCTACTTAACTCAAATGCAGCTTTGACTCGGTAGTTTAGTGGCCCAGACACAACGGTTATCATAGTCTCTCATTGTTTTTTACTATTATTAAAAGATTCGTGAAACTGAATGTATGAAGAGGGTGATAAAATAAGAAGCCAGGAATGGACCATTAGACAAGGTACGAATTTAAGCAATCTGATACATGTTTCTTAACCAGAATTTCACATAGAACACAATTCACACTACGAAAATTACCGAAATCAACTTCTAACGAAGATATTAACGTTTTTATTTCACATTGGGTACGAGGAATTTGAACTGCCCGCTCACAAGAAACTCAAAGCTCTACGTGAGTCAAATCGCGCACTACAACGGTTTCAGCAAGCTTCTCAATCGAGCAATGTTCATTTTCCACCATGTGTTGTTCAAACTATTGGTAATCTTCTATAGCTGAGCCAAAGTGTCAAGATTGAAGTTGAAGATTTTTACATCGCAGAGACTGTCATGATAAACATTTAGCGTGCGATGTGAATCACGTAGAGGATTGAGTTTTCATGAGCGGGTGGTTTGAATTCACGCATCAAGAATCATTAAATATCTTCGTCAGGAGTTGATTTGGGTAATTTTCGTTGTGCGTATCGTGTTCTACGTGAAATTTTGGTTGAGAAACATGTATCAGAATGCTGAAATTCGTACCTTGTCTAGTGGTCCATTGGACCAGTAATAAGTTTATAAAATTTTTCGTCAATTTCAATGATTAATCAATAACAGGGAACAGATAAAAAGGCATGTGTATCTAGTGAAAAGAAAATCATTCAGTCAATTTGTCTCAAAATTAATTCAAGCTTATAAGATTTTCAAATTATGAAGGATACCCAGAGAAGTCGGGAATTTACTTAATATGCTCAAAAAAAAAATAAGCGTCAGAACAAGATTCTTCTTTTTTTCCCATTGTAAATTGAAATATTCGAAACAAGAAGGGGATTTGCAGGTTGATAAAAATTAATATCTATTATTTGGAAGTAAAATATTCAGATTGCTGAAAGTTTTTTTTCAGCATGTAGGTGTGGGTTTATGTTTCTGTCAGCCTTGGAAAAAATAATCAGGAGAAAACAAGATGTTTTAAAATAACCAACGTTCTGCTGCTTAAATATGTCATCTAGGCAGTTCTCTTCCAACTTTGCTAAAATAAAATAGAGCACCCATCAGTATACCAGTTGAAGATCAAACTATGACAGTTTCAAATGAATTTTAAGAAATTGAGGGATTGACTGTTAAGATACATCTTACTTTGAACTTCAAGGTACCTACTAGAAATGTTTTAAGCACCTATCTTGGCTCTAAAATTACGTTCAGCTCATTGGACTGCAACTAGTACATGTGAATGACTCAAAAAAGTGAAACTTCCTATTTCAAGCACTTTTGATTTTGTTAAACTGGTTTCTAAACCCTGTTGCATAGAAATCATTGATCCCATATCAAGTTTTGATCACATCTCGACCCTCTAATCAGTTTTTAAGTGCTGGCCTTTGGGATAAGAAGTTGAATCAATTTAACACTAGAGAATATTATCAAAAATCGTACAATATTTCGCTATGTTGACATGTGCTTGTGTTTGTGCATGAAGAGGGGGGATGAAAACTTTCAAAGCACGCCCTGCGGAGAAATTTACGAATGGTATCTTCATAATCGTTAGAGTTAGTTCCAGTAATCTTGAACTTCCTCATCAAGAATATAAAAAAATTAGGGTTTTGATCAATGCAATGCATTCCATGCAGGTATTTACTGTATTTACTTGCTCATGCAAAAATCATGAAAGTAGGGATTCTCTTTTATAGGACTAAGTCGTATAAATCTTATTCTCTTCTTTAATTTTTTTTCTACTCAAAGTAATTATTATTATTTCATGTACATAAACATTCTGGTCGCCAGTTTTCTCACGCAACTTTCTCGATGAAAACAAGGGCTCAATCAAATAACTTAAGATGCTTATTGGATATTTTTTTTTCTTTTTTCGATTGATGACTAAAATAAATAAGTTCAGTAAAGGCGTTGATAACATTCAAAAAGATGAAAATGAGGGTGATAATAATTAAGAGGGTTTTGAAGGTGCCTCTTTTAGTTAACTTCCCTTCTGTAAAAGGTATGAATGATCCTATCCAAAAATTACAGAATAGTGCCTTGAGAAACGGTCCTACAATCATATCTGAAGTTTAGAAGTATCTACCTCAATAAAATGATCTCTACAACTCAACTACAAGCATTAGACGCGTATGGACGGTGTAAGTCGGCAATCACATAACTCGGTTTCGACGTTGCAGACTTCCTGTTATACTTAATTTTTTAAACGGAAAACTACTCAACAGCATTTCTTGAAAACTGAGGTGATTTTTTTCTCTGTGTGAAGAAAATTCTGCAAAAACTTCAAGAAATAATGTCAATTTGTTCTCCTTTAAAAAAATAAGATAGAGGCGGAGATTTTCAGACACCGCAAACGAGTTATGTGATCGCCGACTTACACCGTCGGTATGTAAAATGTCACATGAAGTTCATTGAAGATACATAGAACCCTGTGATTTTTCAATTTCATGGTTGCATCTCAGCACATTCCTGATTTTTTTTTTAAAAAATATCCACTTTATCCAGCACTTTGTATAGGGTACTCAGCACTGTTTTAAAGCACCATAGAATGAGAAAATATGCATTTGTTGGTTTTAATTTTCATGTTCTCATTTCATGTTCTGTTGTTTCTCGTTCAAAAATGCATGCTTTGTGTAGTTTGATTGTTCATCCTCTTGTTCAAACAAATTTTTTATGTCACAGCAGCATTCCTCTTTGCTTCGGTACATCGCTCGTTTTTGAAACAAGCAATTTGTGAATGGTAAACGTAGCTCACTCTGTTTAGAGTGAAAGTTACTAGAATGCAAAAATTTGCCGTTTTTCAAAGTTTTAGGTCAAGACCTGGGTCATGACAGTGTTACAAGGGAGAGGGAGCCGAGAGGTCGAAAAATCCCAATTTCAGCGACATGTACTTCATGAAAGGATCCCACGTATGATAGGGCATTTTAGGTGTCCATTGTCAACTGCATGCAAGCAGTGTGCAATCATTTTTGGTTTTGGTTTACAATAAATTATTCGCACTGTTTTTTTTCCCTTTGTACAAAATAGACATGCAATTGATTTTTAATTGCTGAAATTTCAGATTAGATTTCTATGGATTAGAAGTAAAACACATCTTTTAGTCATGCGTCTGTGAAGTGCTTGTCAGCACAAAGCTGGATTTTTAACTCTTGGTTGGGATATCTTTTGCCCCGACCTTTTTGAGTTGTGGTGGTCTCGTATTTCTTACACGCATGCGTGCAAGATAAAAAATATTAAAATCGTAATTCCATGTACGTGTACCGGGATAAAAAGAACAATAACCGTAGCCTACTGTCACATTTTCCCCAAATGTACTTATTCTATCTGTTTATCCTCTCTGTATCTCGAGTTCATAACAATTTCTTTGTTTTAATCAATTTGTTTTGTTTTTATTTGTGCAGAAAACGACCCCTGCAAAATCTTTGCAAAATCTGCGCTACACACGCAAGCTGGAAAGAAACAAGGGCAAGAAAATTTTGAACACAACATTAACTGCATTACCTGAAGTACCAGAAGTAGGCTCCACCGAATTTCTTGACTCATTGGATAACAACAAATTAGAAAAAGATCTGAATACAAGTGAGGATGGCGCGAAATCAAAGACTGGTTCCACCGAGCAGTTGTTCTCAACAGAATATTTTGATAGCATTAACGATCCATCAACCGTCACTTCAAGAAGTGGGAGTGTGTTCCATTCAGCAGCAGCAAGCTTGTCAAGTTCAAAAAATAGCAATGATAATTGCGATTCCCTAGATCAGGACAAGTCTAATCTAGTAAACCCTGTTTAACTTGCAAAGTATCCTGTTGTCTGTAAACAATTAATTCTAACCGAACGAAATAACTTTTTTTTCAATTTGTTAATAATTCCAATATTTTTTAATATATTCCAAAGGGTAGGCATGGCAGCCAGGATCTTTTTCAAATATCCATCACAAAATCTTTCTAAAATATTTTCAAAAAATTTCCGTTAATGTGCCTCTCTGCTTTTCTGATGCCGCATTTGTCATCAACTGTGCTCTTGTGCTCAGCTCAATCAGGTTAAAATGAAGGAAATGCAAGGGAGGTAAATGTTAGATGCTTCATGCTTAATGTAGGGAATCTACAAAAATTGAGTGGTTTTATGACATGATGATCCTCTCTGAGAGATGGTAAGTCGTATTTCGAGGGTGAAACTCCCAAACCTTGTATTTCGGTTTGCAATGTTGCAGACTTCCTGTCATACTTTATTTTCTAAATAAGAAACCACTTAACGACAGTTTCGTAAAACTTCTGCGATTTTTTTCATTGTAAGTAGAAAATTCTATGAAAATTTCAAGGAAATATGTGCATTTGCTCTCCTCCTTTAGAAAAGAAAGTAGTGAGAGTAGATATTTTAAAACAACGCAAACGAGATACATGCTTTGAAAGTCTCATTGTTGATTTACAACTGATAATGCTTTTAAGTTCAGATGCTTCATGACTGAATTCCAATGTTTATTAATTAGGGTCTTCATTTTGTAATCTTCCCCAAAGAGCCGTGGTCCCTAAAAATTCAGAGTTTTTCCTACCAAGCACTACACAATTCCTGAAAGAGAGCATTACTTTTCAATCATTCTCAGAAGAATGTGCATAAATTTTGTTGAGGTAGCATATGTCCCTCCAGAGGCAGACCAACACTTTAAGGGACTAGGAATGTCCATCAGTGCTCAGATCGGCCCTTTTAGGCTCAATTTCATGTTCCCAATTTTCTCTTTTGGTGGAATCTAGTAATTTAAGTCAGGATGCATGTCATAAATGTATTTTGTGGTGTTTCGCAGAATTTAGACTTTTTTAACGAAGCAATGATATCAGTTTGAGCTATTTTCCGGTATAGTTTTCCTAGAATGTATGGTTTTGTTTTTGAAACGAAAAATTTGTCCACTTCACATTTACCACAATAAACCAAAGCATACTATCTTTATGTATAAAGACCTACTACCGGCAGGAGAATGTTTAATTCCTAGTCTGATAATTCTTTCTGTCAACTTACACTTGTAAACTGAATTAGGTGATGATTATAATAGAGAGCTCAAGAGACAGATTGATGTTTGATCAACACATGTTTGCAGCTTAAAGATTGAAATGAAGCCGCTGGCACAGTTAAATCTCTTAAAAATAACTTGCAGTATTTTATTAATTAAAACCAGTCCTTCCTAAAAATAAATCAGTAAAGTTACCTCTTTTCCAACGTGGTTGCAAACTAAGGAAACAGGAATAAATTTTCTTGAGCATTTTGTGTCAGTAAAATTCTTTAAGAGGATTTTTTCTCTTCCTATTGTTGAAACATCATTTCTCAGGGCTACCTCTGCTTCAGATTGCTGAAGTTTGATAACCTGATCTTGTTTACTTTTTTTAAAACAAATTTTTGGTTCATTCGTTCTGTGGTCACATGAGATTTACCTTTTTTGTACTGATTTGGAGGCACAAATCAAATCAGAAGCTGTCTTTTCAGAGCTTATACCAACATGTTTGAGGAAGATAGATGAGGATTAAGGAAGATTCACAATTTAGTGTGCCAACTTCAGCTCGCTAAGATTTCAGAGGCAAGATCCTATAGTAACAGAGCTTTTTTTTCTCTTTTCTTCATTATTATATCAATAGTAGATAATGGGCTTGTGTAATTGAGAGTTTGTACTAAATTGATTTTCATCATATTAATGATGAATTCTAAGTTTATAGGAGAAGAAAAAAATCCTGTTGAAAGAGTATAAAAATGTTATTTTCCCTTCCTCTCAAACATGCTGGTGTAGATAAGTCAAAATTACCACATAACCACATGTACAAATTCTGTGTAATTTAATTGTGTTAATTCATTATAATTTAATCATTGACAGATCATAAATCAATTAAGGACTCATTAAACACGAGAAATTTCCATTGAAAGAAACATTTGGATACAGTTTACCACAACGGTGAGAATCCGAGACAAGATTATGTGTTTCTTTACAATTGAACTTTTATGTAGCCACTAAATCAGTCTACTAAAGGTTCATTGAGACAAAGCACTTTCAACTGTCATCGTATAATGTAATTACATACAATTTTTGAGCATTAAGTATATATGTTTCCCCCTTTAATTTTTTTACTCAGTTCCGTTTTTGATAAGGGGCACTACTAAATTTATCTTCTGTCTACAGTCGTGAAGCATCACAGCTCATTTCCCTAAATATCTTAAATTTTCCATACCTTTGTGTGCAAACTTGCCTTTAGATTTGTAGGTAAATGCAATATTTATTTGAACAAACAAAAAAAAACCAATTAATGTGTGGGAGTGAGATACTCTCTTTGCTGGAAGCTTGAGGTAAACCAACTTGCACTTAGAATAATTGAGAGTTGGTATTTTACAACGTATCATTCTTTCTTTTCAGAGCATACTGTAAATTGGAATTCTGAACCATAAATTAGTGATCCATTGTGAGCTACCCTCTGCTCTTAGTTTTAAATAGATTTGATCAAATGGTTATTAATAGAAGTTTAAACTTCAACTAAAAAGTCAAGTGAAGTTCCAGTTTCAAGTTTATTTTCCTGTGTTTCGGACTACTTTAAAGCTTAATAATACCTAATTCAAAATTTTGTGTTTTTATGATTGGTTTTTTTTGGTAATTGGAAATTTTCACTTTCAGTGCCTGCTTCCTTACTGATAGAATTGCATTTTGGAAAACATTTTAAGATAAGTATTTGGGCTTCCTACAATTTCAGTGAGATGTTGTATGTGCAATTAAATAGGGTGAAATGAGTCAGTTGAACTGCTTGACGGAAATCATTGTTTTCAAGATCATGGTTCTTTTGTAACACTGCCGTTGTTAGAAGAGCTTCTTTCTCCATGTAGACTTTTAAAACATTGTGCCTATCTTTTAAAGGAGTTAATTAATCATTACAAGGGATGAATTATGGTCAATTTTAGATGTGTTATCCTCAGTTTCATACGCTGTAAATTTAATTAAATTTAATCAGGAGTGGCCAGACCCTATCGGTAATGAACAATTAAATTCTCTGATGTGCTCAGTTTTATAGGGCAATCACAAACGAAACTAGGTATGCTGTCAAATACTATTTGATATTGTCGTAAAAAATCGAAGTTGAAGTAAATGCTTGTTTCAGTTGAAGGAGCCACTAACATTCATTTTTTGTAATTGTGTGTTCTCGAATGTAAACTCCTGTAGATAAACGGAGGCAATCAGAAACGAAAGACACCAAATAAATTGCATAATTGATGGATTCAGGGAAAACAGCCGTCAGAGTTGGGAAAAAAATAAAATGAGATGACCTACTACTGTGGAGAAGAGTCAACTCTGTATCTTTCAGCATAGGAAATGCTTAAAAATTGACCCTTTGAGACTGCCTATAATGAGAAAATGATCTATTACAAATTTGAGAACAACACTTAAAAAGTTTGCTAGCTCTAATTCTCCTAACATCATCAAGAATTCAAGGCATGCTTTAAAATGTTCAATTAATATTCTTCAGGATATTAGAAAGCACCTAGCATTGTAAATGGATTTCTTTAATGCGCAATCGGTTCTTGGTCCTACCGAAAAACATGAGTTTCCACCACAAGGGAAGGGAAGGGTTGCACTGTGGGTGATCCCATTACATATTATTTACGACCAGAATAGGTCGATTTTATATCAAGTCATGGAACTTTACTAGTCGTGTAAAATGATATGTCAGATTTTCAAACGGCAACATCACATTTTTAGCCATTCTTGCTGTGTAAATGTTTTTATTAATCACACCGATAACTTCACTCAATGAAAATTTTAAAAGCAGGATCACAAGGAATTACATACCATGAATACCACCAGGTATCTCTCCATCTTGTCACATAGCTTAATGTGGAGTTCTCGTCAATTAAACATGTTTACCTATCTTCTTTGAAAATGAGGCTAGGGCAAAGCCTAGATGTTGCTTGAAAGCTGTAGTTTATCAAAATTTGCAACTGGCTCCTTTCAGACCTTTGATTGCTTGCAGCAGCATAAAAATTTTGTTATGTTTATTAGGTTACCACCTTTGTATCCAATTTACTTAAAGTTTTCTCTTAAGCTCTATCAATAAGTGTGGGTCCTTTTAATTAATTTTTCCCTTCTTTTTTTTTCTAATTTTATCAAGTACCCTTAAGGTGTTCCAAATAAAGAGTTTTTTTCTTAAAGGGGGGGGGGGTCATTTGATCAATTTTATTCATACACAAGATGGAACGTATTGCCCATTGTATTGGTTTCATACATTTCACCTGCGTCTGAAAAGCCCTAATATTATTAATGTAAGAGTCGGAATCAGTAATGGTCTTGTAAATTTTTTTCTTGTACCGTTGTATGCTCAAAAGGATATCAGTTCTGAGCTTAAAGAAGTAAGTGAGAAGTTTTCCTTCTTGATTGCTAATGTTTATTTGAAAGTTTGCCTTATATTTATGTTTCATGTAACTGTTCTTTCACTTATTTTCTCCTAAAATATTTCTCAGGTGCAGTTTGCTCCTTACTTTGGGTACCTCATACCTACCCATCACTCCTCCTCTTGTGCCATTCTTAAATACAACCAATGGTCATCTATGTAGAAAGAACAACTGAAAGTCATAAAGTAACGGTTAATATGCTTGAAACAATTTCAAATTTTATTTTTATGTGTCTGCAAACTGATTGCAGAACTCGAAATCAATATCACGTATCACTGAATGTGATATTCAATCAGAGCTAAGTAATAATTAAAAATTTCACCTGAAATTGCTGTTTTGATTGTATTATTTTGAAAGGAGGATCAGTCTCATCGGGAAGCAATTTTTTTCTATCAAGAATCTTCATATCGCAGCATAAGAAATACTACCTAAGTTAAAAATCTCGCATTAAACTAGAAGAAAATTATAACTTTTGTTTTTTAAAGTGAGGAGGAGATAAGTGACAAGTTTGCAACATCTTGCAGTATTTAATTCCATCAAAAGACGATGGCTAAAGTGGGAAACCATGTACCTCCATTGCAGTATTTCAAAATCTCTGCTTGCATTTCTTTTTTAAAGAGAAACGAATCAACTATTTAGCTTGAAATTTCGACAAAATATTCTGCTAATAGAGAAGAAAAGTCAAGGAAGTTTTCAAGAGATGAAGTTGACTGGTTTTCCAAAGTAAAAATAAATTAGGGCTGCAAGTCTGCATTCTAATCTAATGGAGATATGTGGTTTTACATTGTAGCCATCGCGTTTCAGTTGCCTGCCTCACACTTCAATGCATATTCCTGATGTTGACTTGCTCTCACGGTAAATGACAGTTCAGTGTGATTATTCTGTAGACGGTTGTGCCTCATATTTAATCGGAACCCAAAACTTGATTAATAATTCCACAAACTCGAAGCTTAGGGGAAGCCTTGTCTAGTTATTATCCACTATCAAACATTAAAGTCTGTGCACATAATTGTCCTCATGAGACTAAAATATAATGAAAGAACGTGCATCAACAATTTGGAAACTTAATCATTTTGATTCGGTCTGTACCCATTTTAAAGGGACGCTATTTTATAACTCATGATCTATTAAATCTTCGTAGGCATAGCTAAAACTTTTGTTTGCTCTCTTGATGAAATGTAGACTGAGTGCAATTCATGAAGTTATTTTAGTCAGAAATACTTCACAATAACCATGTATTTTATTAAAGCAGCTTTCTTGATCAGTTTTGAACAAAGGTCTGATTGATCCTGTTCCCAAGAATTCGTCCTATTAGGTAGGTTAAAACCAATGTTATAAAAATGAAATGAAGAAAAAAGAAATGAAAGAAGGAAGGAAGGAAGAATCAAGTGGATCTAAAGCCTTTCTTCTTTTTTTTCTCTTTTCATAGTTTACATTTATTTCCATCAACATTCATGTAAATTAGGGACATAAGTTTTTAGATGACAAATTGCCGTTCTGGAAAACAGCTTTGCTTCGGTTTTACTAAGACTCGCTGGCAGAGTTATCATCAGTACTGAAATTTTTCGTTACATAATTTTCATTGGGCTCTTTAAGTCCCTCTAAATTTAGTACAGAAATGTTATCCTACCAAAATTACTACTAAGAGCAAACGTAACAAAATTGAACAATATTTCCTAAACTAGGGACAAGAATTCTACCTTTTAAACGAACTTTTAAAATTGTTTTATCTTTGTTTATAATTATAATTTTATTGTAAATTTTGTTAAATAAGAAAAATAAATTCATAAAATTGAAATCAATGATCTTCAGTTCACGCCACATCCTCTCACATAACCTCTCTGTGCTTGATCTTCAGGTATGGCAGTGAATATTTCTAGATTTAGATTTAACGTTCATCCCTAGCCCAGAGTGCTATCAAAAATGTAAGTGTCATCCCTTCAGGAAAAACCAGAATCCACTGGAGATTCAGAACTTTTAGTGAATTATCCTAGCAGGGCTTATCGACGGTGTAAGTCGGCAATCACATAACTCGTTTGCGGTGTCTAAAAATCTCTGCCTCTATGTCATTTCTTTAAAGGAGAACAAATTGACATTACTTCTTAAAGTTTTTGCAGAATTTTCTTTGCATAGAGAAGAAAAATCATGATAGTTTTAAAGAATTGCCGTTGAGAAGTTTTCTGTTTAAAAAATAAAGTATAACAGGAAGTCTGCGACGTCGCAAACCGAGTTATGTGATTGCCGACGTACACCGTCATAATGCCCTGGCAAGACAGTGTTGCCACAAACTTCAAACTGAATTGTACGTTGGCCAAATAACTTACGGGGACTATAGTACTTGTCAGTGGCAGGGCATTAATGATCAATTATCGATATTTACTTATTTGAAGCTTTGGTCAAGAATTGATCAGCAAAGTATTTGTTGTGAACATCCTGTTTATGGATCCTTTTCCATAGTTCTAAGTGGCAGACCAGTCAATATCACAAAACACGATACGCCACTGATTCTTGTTTACTATTGTTGAGGTGGTGCCTCAAACTAATTGAATTGTGCCTTCTTTACTCACCTCTAAAGTAAAGAGAAAGAAGAGATTACGCTGAAAAATTAAAATTTTGATAATTTGTGATAGAATAAATGCTTGATCTCTTGATAGGGACAGATTAAAGACAGAAATGTAAAAAAAATAGAGTTTATTTTTGATTAAAAATATCAAAATAATCGAAACGGTATACATAGCGGTATAAAAACAAGAGAGCAATTAAATTCAATAAGTGAAAAGGATTAAATACAGGTATGACTTAGTTCCTAAATACTGCAACATAAAGAACTACGACAGAGGCAGATAGAAGAAAAGGTATGATTTGGAATAAAAAAAACATACTTCAGCGAGGAAGATTAAGTTATGTCAAGTTTTGAAAAATCAGAGAAAATAAAAATATTTTTTAAAATTAATGGGCGACTAGGCAAGAATGGAACTAGAAGAAAACGTCACATGTTTCCTCTTCAATATCTTATGTAGAAAAAGATTCACACAACAGGAAGTTTGGATTTCAACTCCTGAACAAGATATTAACAAGTATTTTTAACACAGATCAAAAGGAAGTTTGATTGTACAAAAGACGTCATTTATGTTTGTATTAAATGTTAACTGTAAGCAACCACATTTCCTTCAGGAGTTGATTTCCATAATTCTTGTTGTATGATTCGTTTTCCTCGCGAAATTTTCAAGAGGATATATGTTAAGTATTGTAGTAGGTCATACGTTGTATTTTGGCCCATTTGGAGTAAAACTGGGTAGAACCCTGACACAGCTGCAAAAATTTGTGGGGATAACACGACAGTCGATCAATAGTTTTTGACTGTTGGGTATCATGTGACTAGGAAGAAGAGAAAATCAGATTGTAAACAAACAAGCAGAAAAATTTTCGGTTAGAAAACTTCTTTCAGGGTAAAATTACCAGATGTAAGAGGCTACGAGGTCATGACATTTGCTGGTGTCCAAAGAATGAAAGTGAAGTGATGAGGAACGATACAGCAATTCAGGAAACGTTAAATTTTTATCGGTATCATACCTACATTATGAAGGTTTCATTTCGCTTCTTAAAATATAGGGAAGAGCAAGAATACAAATAAGAAATACACAGCTTTAACAGAGTATTCACAGTACAGTTCTCAGACAAAATGCAAGAATATTAAGACAAAGAATACAGATTAAAATCAGTAACGGGTCTCCAGTTACTGAAGAACAGTTTAAATGTTTCAGTAGAGTGAGCTGGAACTACATTGCTGTCAATATGGTTTTTATAAAAAGTACATGAAAAATGAGGAATGCAGTAATTTTTTTTCGCAAAATTTTTAAACATGCCTACTTCTTTGCACATAAATTGCAACTGCGGTCAAAAGAAACCAATAATTCTAATCTGAAAAAATAAGTTGATAATTACAAGCTAAGAAAAAGAATCGGTGTTGAAATTAGAAATTTTAACTCATTCAATAAAAATGAGAAGCTATTAAATTTTTGGATACATGTTTTCACATGTAAATCGCAGTTATCACAGTACTAACTTTCTGAGTAATCACTGATTATGGAAAGAAAACCTATTGATTAGCACTACCAAAAAATTTTAACTAAAACTATTTCCAAGGTGGTCGAGAACTCGTAAAACTGAATGTACCGGACAATACTGGCTGATGCCTCAATTGAAATGTCTACGAAAACTAAAATACATAAGATTGTAACAGTGACTTATTAATACTGATAAATACTTTAACGCACAAAATTGTTCAAGGCAATTGGAGCTTACATACTATGATGATACATGAAATTTAAAAGTGCATAATTATTGCTACATGTGCAAACAGCTTAAAATTATTTATCTATACACTTGGGCCAATGCTCCGTCACTGTAGTATTGAATCTGCGATAAAGCAATGAGGCACAGTTGTTCTTAAATGCTCACAGACAACAAAAGGAAGTTTGAATCTTATGAATATCACCTTGAAAGAGGTGGAAAAGCATCTGCTGAAACTATAAACAGGTCTTAAAAGAGAGCTTATTGCATCTATTAATCAACAACAGGGGGGAAGAGTATGCGGTGCATGGAGTCTTTTGGTGCTTTTTAAGCCAAATGCATTTGGACCCTGAGGGTCGTCAGTTGCGCAGGAGAAATTTGACACTTTAACAATAAATGCAAACGCAAGTACCAGAAGAAAGAGCAAGACATGCTGAGGGGCTGGCATGCTCCTTGACTTGTTTAGCCAGCCTTTATAATGTAACTTTCATTGCTTTGTAGTTAGTTCACCTCTACTATATTATCTTTGCAATGGCGGCTGCATGTCTTACACTTTCTGTACTTACGCTTGGAGTGATTGTTTAACTGTCCAATGCCTTATTTGCTAATGAAGATGACCCTTTGGGGCGAAATGCATCTGTCCTGAAAAACACCTATAGTATGTCCGCGATGGGTGGAACCGTGGAAAGTCGGAATTAATTGCACTATGTAGAAGCAAGGGTAGCGTCCGAGCTATTGTAAGATGAGGACACCGAATCAACCCCGCACTGCTTTAAGGGCTGGCTCTTCATGAGTCGCTTGTCACGCCATGCTGCTCAGCGCCTAGTGCAGGTATTATCCGCTTCAGGCACAAATCCAGGGGAAAACCGCCGCGCCGAGGCCCATAGCCTCCTGTGCGGTGGCTGCAGCGTGCGCTAAATACCGAAATGTGACAGTTGACGATGGTTGAAACAGCCCCACCCTGCAAAACGGTGCAAATAATTCTGAATTTCCACGGTTCTTCCCATCTCGGACAGACTACAATTTTTTTATCTATCTGCATACTCTTTTGACCTGTTTTGTATAGGTACAGGTCTCTTGATGATTTATCATATATATTCAGTACCAAAAATTAAAAAAATCCTATTAGAGTAACATACTGTCTCTCAGTAAGGAACAACTTAACAGTATTTTATAAAAAGAAAGCCTAGCTCTGTCACTTTGGTTCAGCTTAATTTCAGAAGAGAAAAATAGAGATTGTCTGGCATATGCTTGGCACAATTTAAAAAGATTTATCAGCAGTTGTCATACAAAATGGTGTAGAATGATGAATTTGACTGTGTCTGATTAAGTAACTGTTCCGGTAAAATTTAGCTTCACACTCACCACACCTGTACTGTGGTTGAAACTTAAGTCCATGATGCTGTTTTCGCAGGTGTTCAACCAAATGTGCGTTACTGTTAAAGCCTTCCATACAGAGTCCGCACTTGAACCGTGTTGATAAAAATTTGATTTTGTTATTCTTCCACTTGAAAGAGGATAAAATTGGGGTTTGATTCGACATGTTAGGAGAGAGGAAAAGCGGTCGAGCATCATTTTCGTCATTCACTGGAGTGCTTGTAGCTATATTAGTGAAGGAGTTGCTTCGCTTGCGAGAGAGTTTTTTGGTTTTCATTGGTTTTCTCTTGAAAAAATTAAACCACTTTTTGGATTTACAGTTTTGTGAAGGACTGTTTTCATCACTTACTTTAAATTTTTTAGATTTTTGCACTACCGACTCTAGAGAGCTATCTGAGCCAGAGGAATCATTTCGCTTTTCCTTGTCTGGAATTTCAAATCTCAGCTTCCTACGAACACTAACATTACTGTTGCTACCATCAACATTATCATAGGCACTTATTTCATTCAAAGGCAATTTTGCAGGCGAATTTTTAAGAATAGATTTCAAGGGGGAGTCATGGTTGGGCTTAAAGGCTAACTTTGACAAGGGATTTTCAATCCTTCCTGGTGAACCTTCAGCATTAATGTTAGCCATGAGCTTGGAGAATTGTTCACTTAACTGAGGGGATGCCATTTGATTTGAGCCACTGAAATTTAAATTGCTGAAATTTTCATTGCTAATACTGGTCATTAAGCACTTCGAACGGATGATTTCATCAAATTGTCTGAAGTGTTTTTTCTCTATATGTATCAAGAAAACTCTATAGTGTTCTCGCAAAACTCGATGACTGCAGAAACGACACTGAATATGTTTTGGTGTATCTGCTTTGTCACAAAGATGAATGACTGCCTCATGATGTTTCCGTGCCACGTGATTTGGCAATAAGTCTTGCAGATAAAATTTAGCATTACAGTACGGACAAGAGTGGAGCAACGCTGAATTTTTGTTTGAACAAGTGATTGTTTTCAACAAATCAGAATGACAAGATTCAATATGACTTTTTAGAAGGAAATCAAACTTAAAGTCAAGCAGACAGAATGGACAAAATAATCGCAAGGTGTCACATGCTTCGGAAACTATTAGGTCAGCTACATCAGTAGCAGCAGCTGGATTTAAGAATGAACTTGAATTTTCACCTTTTAATTTTTCGAACTGCTTGTGTGGCTCTCGTAATATCAATGAGAAATCCACACTTTCCATGACAGTTTCAGAGCTGCTGTTCGCAAACAAATCTGCAGATGTATTGAATGCATCTTGATCACCGGATCCGCTCATACTCGAACTTTGAGCGCCTCTCACCAAAGTTATAACTTGAGAATGCTCCTTCCAAAGCTAAGCTGGGACCTCTGAAAGGAAGAAAGATTTAATTAATGGAGACTCATTGATTCTCTTGAACTAGTTAATTAAAATATGAGAACTCTATACTTGAGACCACTAAGGTTGAACAGAACTGCATTAGTACTGATGCATGACTGAAGTCGGTTCTGAAACAGCAGCTTTTAAAATCAGTGTGCGGAAGATAGTTTGTAGTAACCAGTTATTGGTGCCCAATGTGCTTACACCATTGCAGATAGCACAGCACTGAACTGCATCTCTGCGCATGCATCATTGTCTGTTACTGCATAAAAGTCTGTGGATGAAGATGCATTCAGAAGATGACACCTCAGGGCAACAAAGCACTAAGTAC